CTGCTGGCAGTTCTCCCTCGCACCACGCTGGGCCAAACCAGCGGGCGTGGAAGATCCGAGGCGCTGCGGTAGCACATCCTATTTTCACACGCGTGTGCTACTCTTCTTTGCCAATGCGCCGTCTAGGCGCGGCTTTCTCACTCACTCACTCACTCATCCCTGGGGGGGCTGCGATCTGTGAAACTGTCGCTACTTTCGAGGTCTGCTGGGGGGCCCAGCACAGTGACGCCACGCGCGGACCCAAATTAGACCTCGCCACCCCTGGGGGGCTGCGATCTGTGAAATTGTCGCCACTTTCGAGGTCTGCTGGGGGGCCCAGCACAGTGACGCCACACGCAGATTCAAATTAGACCTCGCCATCCCTGGGGGGGCTGCGATCTGTGAAACTGTCGCCACTTTCGGGGCCACTTTCGAAACCCGCTGGGTGAAGAGTTGTAGCTCGTAAAACATACAAGCGCTTTGCGCATCATTTGCAGGGGGGCGAAGCGGAAAGAAACAGCTTGCTCTCCACGAGACGCCCCTTCATGCCTCGTGGGTTGCTCTCAGGCCCTCGATCACATCATCCTCGGACCGTTATGGTTTCCTGGACTTCGCCGCAGACTCAAGTTAGACCTCGCCATCACTCGGGGGCTGCGATCTGAGATCCCCGCTTTCGAAGTGGCTAGGAGTGCTCGGGGATTGTAACTAATCAGCTTTATCCCGTCCTTGTCCTGTAACCAGTGTCCTGCGAGTCTCCCGAATTCCGTCTGCAGACATATGTAAAACTCGCTCCGTCATCGCCCCCCTTATAAAGTGTCGTAAACTATTTGCGACCCGCGTTTGCGCAGGGGTTGGGTACGTCGCCAGGGTACTTTGTTTTGTTTGGGTGTGGGTGGGGGGTCGAACAAATCTTCTCCCGCTTAGTTCTGTGGACAACTACACATGTATTCCCATTGTGAAGGGTTACGCGCCCTTTTTTTCCAGTTTTTATATACATATAAAAAAGGCCCCTCCCCCCCAATAGGTTTCATTCTTTTGGAGTGTTGTAATGGGGTTCTTCTAGTGCAGGATTACATGGGGATTCCTTTGGGAGCGTTCAATCGGATTACATTCCATTTGCGGGGGATTACTATCTGTCTGATTCCTTGCGTGCGTGATGGGGGCCTTCAAGCGTTGAGGATTACAAGGGGATTCCCTTTGCCGAGGATTTCGGTAGTTTTTTTTTTTTCGTAACGGATTTCAGTTAAACTCCTTTTGTGGGGGATTACAATCGGATTCTCTTCGCGGGGGTTTTAATCGGATTCCGCTTGCGGGGGTTACTTTCGGACCCCTCTTTGCGAGAGCCTTCAGTAGGATTCTTTGTCGTAGAAGATTTCAATCGGATCCTTCTTGCGGCGGGTTTAAGTTGGATTCTATGGAAATGTAAATAAGATTCCTTTCGTGGGGGCTTACCATGCGATTGCATGTGAAGGGGCCTTCAATCGGTTTTTTTGTTTTTGTGTGTGTGTGTGTGTATGGGAGGGGGGGCGTTATTCCAATTTCTTGTGTAAAGGGGCTCAACCTATTGTTCTGGGATATGCAGAGGCGGGAGGAAGAAACATCTAGAGAGATTTGAACATGTGTATATATATATATATATATATATATATATATATAGTTACAGAGAGAACGAGAAAAAGAGAGAACGAGAGAGAGAGAGAGAGAAACAAAAAAGGAGACAGAGAGATGACACCATAGCCTGACGAAAGTCCCCCAACCATCCATATGCAGCTGCCGCGAAAGGCAAGGGAGATGAGACGAATGAGGCGGGCACGCAAACCTCGCAAAACGCACGCGGTATACCCTAAGCGTTGTACTGTGTGTGGCGGACGCACGCGGGCACTTCCACTGGGGCCTTCGGTGGGGTTTCCTATGGGGTCACGAAGCGCTGTACTGGGTGTGGCGGACGCATGCGGGCACATCCACTGGGGTCTTCGGTGGAATTCCTTAACGGGTGCAAGGGATGGGAGGAGCGGGAGGAGATGGGAACTCCTTCGCATCCACCCCAAAGGACGTCAAAGGCGGTTGAAGAGACGGGGGGGATTGTATTTGGCAGTTCCTGGCTGTCGCCGAGACTCGCGATCGTCGCAGTGAAAGTTCGCTGCTTGTCGGATGGCCTCGGGGCTAGCGCTCGCGTGCCGTAGGTGTCGGAGCATCGTCGCCGTCGTCGCATGACCCAAATGAACGTGGATCCTCCGGAGTGCCGCCTGTAATCTCTGAGGGCGTCGGGGACGGGCCTCACCTCCTTCTCTTTCTCGGCGGCGAGCGAGGGGGGGAAGAGAGAAGGAGAAAACCTTTTTCAAAAGGCTCAGAAGTTCCCCGGCCTTCTGAGAAGCGGCCTTCCCCGAAGACGCAGACAACGTCTCAGAAGGCACGAGGGATTCTGAGATCTCCCGCCGCCTTCCGAGAAGGCCTTCTCCTTCTCACTTCCCCCCCGCGCTCGCCGCCGACTTTCGTCATCGTCGACAGCACGTGCTTCCACCTCCTCTCCCTCCGTCGCAGACCACACGCGCCCTGAACAGGCCCTGGGGTGTCTTCCTGATGAGTCGGATCGGATACACCTGAGGCCCTCGAGGGAGAGAGACACCCAGGCCAGGCAATAAGTCGGGCATGTCCCTCTACAGGAGAAATGTTCAAGAATAGTACAACATAGTCAGGGAACGATTTTTCGTGCTATTGTGGTTCTTGCTATTTATTTAAGGTCCAGTTACCTTTTGTCTTCCACAATCAGTCTGTAGGAGGACATGCCCGACCTAATCCAGGCAATAGGCTGCCACCCTTTGTCCGCGCATGGGCGTGGCCGCCCTGGCACAGAGGTGAAAACTCATTCGCCACCTCTCGTGGCGACGTTATAAGCTTCCACTGCTCACTCGGAAAAACTCTTGAGATAGGATGTCTGAGCCCCTTTCTGCACCCACTCGTCACACCAGTGCAGACCTCCGGATTTAGCAGGAGTCGTTTCCTGGCGCTCAGACCTACGGTAGCAGCAGACGGAGGGGCGTTGAAGACAAAGTGCATGTCCCGAGACAACTGATCCTCAGCAACCCGAACACATCCCAAGACATAACGCTTCGCTCCAGAAGTTCCCGATGGTGACTTTTCAGATCTTTTTCCGTTTTTCATCGTGAGCAAGGTTTTGAAGGGCCATGAGCTTCTCACACGGCGGATACATATGATGACACAGAGAGGCTCTTCCTTTTCGATTATTCCCCAGAGTTCCTGCATATCCTGGCCCCTTCGAGCACCCCACCCATTGACCCTGTCGAACGACCCAAGATCCTTCATGCCGTACTGACTTGCCAGAGGCCATTCCCGTGGAGGTGAGAAAGTCTCCATCACGCTCCGCACCTTCTCCGACACACTGAGAACATGCGCATCTGAATTGGCCTCAGGGCGCCAACCCGGCTCTTCTGAAGTGCGCCGCCAGGTCCTCGACCTTCAGCCTTGAGTCGTCGACGGTCGCGTCGGGCTCCAGATTCCTCGCGAACTCGCGGCCGAGCAATTCCACCTCTCAGTGTCCACTGCCCTCTGCTTCGCGGACGGGCACCGACGCTCCGAGCCTTCCCAGCCACAACTGGCCGTCACCCATGTTGAGGTTCGCCCGGGGCATCTTCATCACCTGCTTGACGGTCAGGAGCACGGCCCAGCTCTCGACCGCGTAGACCAGGATCTTCACGCGCTTCTTGTCGGGCGAAGAGAACTATGCACATGCACCGATCCTGGCAAGGCCCATCCTTGACCCAGGATCGGTGCATATGCGTTCCTGGCCAAGTCAAGAGGGCGTATGCACCGATCCTGGGCTCAGGATGAGCCTGGCCAGAATCGGTGTATGTGCATAGTTCTTTTTCCTCTATCTTGGCCTTGGGAATCAGCCACTGGACCCAGCATGCCCTCTCTGCGCTCGCCGAACCCGTCCCCCCGCAGCCCTCGAACCGGATGATTGGCACATCCTCCTCCCAATTCCGGCTGCAGGCCCCCGTCTTCTCCTCGTATACTTCGCGAGCGTCTCCGATTCGATCGGGGCCGTGCCGCAGCCCGATGCAAGTGCATCGCAGCCTGGGGCGTGGCAAGCGCACGCCTCTGCCTTTGCGCAGTGTCGTCGTCACCCTCGGCCTCGTGGATGTCGTCAGCGTCGACGTCTTTTCTCCGCCTCGCGTCCCTCGTGTGCCAGCCGTCGGAGCCTCTCCTCATTCGTCAGCTTCGTGGTCAGGTTCGACTTGCTGTCCTTTGACCACGATGCCAGCATCACGTCCACCTCAGACCACACGTCCTCGCTCTCCGTCGCCACTTGGATCATCAGGACCTGGACGATGTTAGTTTGTGCCATCCGCTTGCCCTGTCGATATGCTCGCTTCGTGAAAACTGGTGGCTTGCCGCTTCCTGACTGGCCGATCTTGCCGCGCTGGGGACAGTCCCGTGTGAAGTGGCCAATGTCCGGGCACATCAGGCGCTCGAAGTTAGGTGGAGTCTCTGCTCGGAAAGCCCCTTCGCTGCTTCTGCTTGGTCATCGCCGTCCTCGTCCCTTGCCAGGTAGCCAATACGTCGATCGCGTCCAGATCATCGATTGGTTCTGCTTCCTCCAGCAGCTCATGGATCTCCACCCCGGGCCTCTCGTCCAAGGTTCTCGTCCACAGATGGCTCTGCCTCCGCTGCTGGCGCCCAGAATGACATCATAGACTTCTCATCCCAAGCCGTGGCCTCATTGCACCTGCGACGTCGGCATCTGCTTCGGACTGGCCGTCCGAATCGCCGCCGACGTCTCGCTGAAGCTGCACGCCACAGTTCACACCTCCTCCCTCTCCCCCTCCCTCTTCCTCCCTCTCGTCGTGCCCAGCCCCCTCCTCCCCCTCCTCCCCCTCCTCCCCCTCGTCCCCCTCCTCCCTCCCCTCCTCCTCTCCTTCCCCCTCCGTCTCCCCGTCCCCCTCCTTCCCCCCCCCTCCCCTGTCCTCCTCCCCCTGCCCTCCTCCCCTCCGTGTGCAGAGGTCTCGCAGTCCCCGCGCAGCTCGACCGGCAGAGCCGCCCGCCGCTCCTCGCTGCGCTCGCCGCCGGCGTGCCCGGCCGCCGCGCTGGTGTCCGCGCACGTGCAGGCCGCCCCCGAGCCGGAGGACCCGGAGGACCTCAGGGCCCCTGGGCGAAGGGACGCCCCCTAACCCAGAGATCAAGCGTATGGGAAAACTCACGACGGGAGGTTTTTCGCCATTTTCGGCCTCGGGGGGCCCCTACCAGGCCTCGGGACCGTCAAGACACGATTCAGGATGAAAAACGATCCTGGGGAATTGGTCGAGACTTCCGGGGACCCCGTATTGGAAAAATCGCGACGTCGGATCTCGGGGTCCGCCTCCGCCACGTCCCCCTCAGATTTGGGCGCCGCGCTTTGCCGCGCTTTTTCAGGACGGGCGTGCTCGCCCGGTTTCGGGCCCCGGGGCCCTCGCAGCTCGATGCTGCTGCCCGAAGAGTGGCGCAGGAGTAATTATGGGGCGTCTGGTGCTGCGGTCCGCTCTCGGGGCTTCCTCCTGTTCCGGACCTCCTCTTGCCCCCCCCTCCTTCGCTTCCTGCCGCTGCCCCTTCCCCTTCTCCTTCCCTCTCCGCCTCCCAGCTCTTCCCCCTTCGTCTTTCCGCCCCTCTTCTCTCTCTCTCTCCCCCCTCCCCTCCTCTTCGCATCTCCCTCTCCTCTCCCTCCTCCTTCGCCTCCGCCTCCGCCTCCGCCGCCACCTCTGGAAGGGCCCCCACGACTGCCACCGGGAGCTGGTGTACAGGGCCGAGGCGGCCGCCGAGGGCCCGGGCGCGGAGGACGCCTCGAGCCAGGCCGCCGAGGCCCTCGAGGAGGCGTCCCCGGAGGAGGCGCCCCGGGAGGAGGCGCCGCCCCGGGAGGAGGCGCCCCTGGCGGAGGGCGCGGAGGAGTCCGCGGCGGAGCTCGCCGCGGAGCGTTCTCCTGGGGGCCCCCGGGGTGCCGGGGAGCCGCTCGAGGAGCCGGCCGAGGCGCAGCCCTCCCCTGCGGATGCTGCTGCTGCTGCTGCTGCTGCTGCTGCTGCTGCTGCTCCTCTTCGTCCCTGCTCGTTCCTTCTCGTCCCTCCCGCGTCTCCTGCCTCGCCTGCCTCCCCTTTCTCCTCCTTCTCCTCGCTCTCCTCCCTCCCGCCTCCCTCCTTTCTACTCTTCTCTCCGCTCCTCTCCTCTCCTCTTCTCCCCTCTCCTGTCTTCTCTCCTCTCCTCTCCGCTCCGTTCCGCTCCGCTCTGGTCCAGTCCGCTCCGCTCCTCTCCTCTTCTCTCCTCTCATCTCCTCTCTTCCCGCTCTTCTTCTCATCCCTCCCTCTCCCTCTCCTCTCTCTCCCCCCCGTATCCCCTCCCCCCGTCGCCTCCCCCTTTCCCTCCTCCCCCTGCACGGGCAGTTGACCTCCCCCTACCCCCTCTTCTCCCCTCCCTCGCGCTCCCCTCTCTCGGAGGCGGGGCGGGAGCTCGTCGACCGCGCCTGCTCCCCCGTGGAGTGGTGCCACGAGCAGCCCGCCGCAGCCTCGGTGCTGCCTCCACCGCAGGCAGCGACGTCGTCGTCGTCGTCGTCGTCGTCGTCGTCGTCGTCGTCGTCGTCGTCGGGCGTCCTGGCGGCCTGAGGAGGATTAGGAGGAGGAGGAGGAGGAGGAGGAGGAGGAGGAGGATGAGGAGGAGGAGGAGGAGGAGGAGGAGGACCAGTGTAAACTCAAGACTCATCAACGATGGTCGAGATTCACCCTCCAAGCTCCCTCTTCGTATGCCCCCACAAGGGTTCCCACTGATGGAAGTGCCCCGTTGGGGGACAAACGTGCGAAATTCCTGAACGTGCCAAAGCACCGTTCTCAGGACTTCAACGCCACGAGTCAACCAGACTACTGCGTCTTGACGACCCTGAATCGTGCCAGAACATCAAACCTGGGACTTCAACGCCGCGAATCAACGTAACTGCTGCGCCCTGGCAGTCCTGAATTGTTCTACCACACCACTCCTGGTTCGTTAACCATGAGAAGCGCTATGATGCTGCGGCTGCGCCTCCACTCCGCGGCTGCGGGGCCGTGACACATGGGCCAGCTCGCCTTCCAGGGTTGCCCGTCGCACGCTTGCTCTGGCGTGTTTCTTGTCGTGCGCTGCCGCGCGTACAGCGTGAGCCATCCCTTTGTTGCATGCGGCCCGCACGATGCCTCCACTCCGCGGCTTCGGGGTCGTGGCACTTGAGCCAGCTCGCCACCCAGGGATAGCCCCTTGCACGTGGTTTGTTTCGTCTTTGCTGCATGCCTTGCCTTCGCGTCGGACCTCGCGCCGACCGAGCCTCCGCGCCTGCGTCACCAGTGTGGCGCTGGCGGGTTGTGCCTTCCAGTTGCGGGTGCGTTGCGCGTCGGACCAATTCCATTCCATCCCTCCTTCCCCCTTCCTCCCCCTTCCGTCATGTCTAAATCTATTACGAATCATGGCGTTCTTAGTCACCGCCGCCACGGTCGTTCACTTTCGGTCTCCCGGCGTTCGGGCCTCGCGCTTCTTTTATGACGCGCGCCGTCGTTCTTTGAGTTGTTTTTCGATCCGTCGTTGGTCCCCAGCTTTTCTCCATGTTACACGCTGCGCCCTCTCGAGTTGGTGTGGAGTGTGGCTTGTGGCGAGCCTCGGTTTTCGCCCGCCGTGCCCGCCTTGCCCCACTCCTCTTTTCTTTGCTCCTCGCTTGTCCCTTCTTCACGCATGCAGCACGCTCCTTCCTCTTTCGGTCCACGGTTCATTTCATGCGTTTGATTATCGCAGGTCGGCTCGTGTAGTGTTCCCGGTTTGCCTGGCGACCTTTTGATTCGCACAGCGGTCGAGGCCGAGGCAGGTGAAGTGCTGTGGTCGCGCTCTTTCGTCCTCTTCTTATGAAAAGCGAGGAGCAATGTTCTTGCAAGGTTTTGAAACGAATGTGCGTGGCGCTAAAGCGAGAGCCACTTTTTGAAAAGGAACCGCCCTCAATCCGTTCATTGATTGCAAGTGTGAAGAACGAACGTGCGCGGCGCTGAGGCGACAGCCGCATTTTGAAAACGACCAGCCCTCAATCCGTGAAGCTCTGGCACATGTTTAAAACGAGAGGGCGCGGCGCGAAAGCGATAACCACATTTTGAAAACTGCCCGCCTCAAATCCGTGAAGCTCTTGCGCATTTTTAAGACGAGTGGGCGCGGCACTGCGGCGAGCGCCACATTCCAGACATACCCGCCCCTCAATCCGTGAATTTCTTTTTAATTTTTATAATCAATATACACATGCATCGTTAACATGTATTAGTATTTTTTGTCAGACGACTCTGCGCGTCGCTAAGGCTCTCATGTGTGAAACGGTTGTCATTGTTTTGCTTCAGGCTCATAAGCGGTGAGGAAGTCTCGGGCGAAACGCCCAGCCCGCCCTTCCCATTGGCCTCTGGGTGCGACAGTTAGGACTTAGTCAGTTAGTCATACAGAACAGGAATGGAGGAGGAGAAGGAGGAGGAAGAGGAGGAAGATGAGGAGGCGGACAATGAGGAGGAAGAGGAGGAAGAGGAGGAGGAGGAGGAGGAGGAGGAGGAGGAGGAGGAGGAAGACGAGGACGAGGAAGAGCAGGAGGAGGAGGAGGAGGAGGAGGAGGAGTGCTGGGTCTCGCTTGTTCGTCGCCTTTAGGCTAATATGAAAAAGGAGGAGGCGGAGGAGGAGGGAGGGAGGGAAGGAGGGATGAGGAAGAGAGGGAGGGAGGAGGAAGGAGGGGGAGGAGGAGGAGGGTAGGAGGAGGAGAAGGAGAGGAAGGGGAGGAGGAGTAGGAGGAGGAGGAGGAGGAGGGAAGAGGAGGAGGAGAGAGGGAGGAGAAGGGAGGGAGGAGGAGGAGGAGGAGAAGGAGGGGGAGGGAGGGAGGGAGGGAGAACAGAGGGAAGCCGTCGTCGTCGTCGTCGTCGTCGTCGTCGTCGTCGTCGTCGTCGTCGTCGTCGTCGTCGTCGTCGTGGTCGTCTTCTTGGGGCGGCCAGGAGCCCGCGCCGCTGCTGCAGGCCGAGCCGCTGCCAGAGCAGCTGGCGGCCCCGCCGCCTGGAGCGAGCTCGGCGCTGGCGCCCGTGGTGCAGCCGTCCCTGGCCGAAGCCCGGCGCGGCGCTCTGGCGACAGTGCCTTCGGCGCCGACGTCGTCGTCGTCGTCGTCGTCGTCGCCGTCGTCGCCGTCGTCGCCGTCGTCATCTTCGTCGTTGTCGTCGTCGTCGCCGTCGTCGTCGTCGCCGTCGTCGTCATCGTCGTCGTCGTCGTCTTCGTCGTCGTCGTTGTCGTCGTCGCTGCCGCCGCCGTCGTCGTCGTCGCCGTCGCCGTCGCCATCGCCGTCGCCGTCGCCGTCGCCGTCGCCGTCGCCGTCGTCGTCGTCGTCGTCGTCGTCGTCGTCGTCGTCCCTCATGACCTCTTTCTCTGTCACCTCCTCGTCGTGCTCTCCTGGTCCTCCTCCTCCTCCTCCTCCTCCTCCTCCTCCTCCTCCTCCTCTCTCTTCTCGCTGGACTCTTCCTCGTCTTCTTCTTTCCTTCCCTTCTCCTCCTCCTCCTCCTCCCTGCTTTCCCTCCCTTTGCCCTTTGCACTCGGCCTTTGCCGTCTGTGCGCTGCTGCTGCCAGCGCCCCTCTGCCACAGCACCCTGCAGCAACACATTACGAGCGCGCACTTGGGGAGATGAGCCAGGGCGGAGAAACTGTTCCATCCAGAACCCGAGGAAGGAAGCAAGAGAGGGGGGCTAGCGAGAGAGGTGCCACAAAGACCCAAGACGGGCTCGGAAGCCGAACCCCTCTTGTGCTTCTGCATGCTTTGTTTGGTCCCGGGGTCTCTCGGGCCCCCTTTTGCGCCCCCCCCGGGGGGTCATTTTGGAGCCCCGAGAGGCCCCGGCCCTCCACCGGAGGGGGGGCAGGAGGAGGAGAAGAAGGAGGAGAAGTAGGAGGATGAGGAGGAGGAGGAGGAGAAGGAGGAGGAGGAGAGCAGGAGGAGGCGGAGGCGGAGGCGGAGGCGGAGGCGGAGGCGGAGGCGGCGGAGCGAAGGCGGCGGCGGGGCGGAAGCGGCGGAGGCGGAGACGGCGGAGGCGCAGGCGGCAGGGGAGCCCGGGGGAGCGGCCTGACTTTGGGACCTGGCCCTGCCAGCGACGATCGAGTCTGCCCCCAGCGTGGTGCGGGGTCAGCAGGCCTGCACACTGCCATCTGCTCGGAGCGACCACGAGGTTCGAGCGGGGGCTCCTCTGCTCCTCCCACCCCGGCCTCCAGCCAAGCCCTCGGGCGAGTTCACCAGAGGCAGACGGGAAGAAGCAGGACGGGACATGATGACCAGAGTGGGCCCCACCGATCGCTCGAAGAGGGGGAGGAGGGCCAGCCGTTCCAGGCGCCCCCGAGCTCGAGAGCCTGGGAGGGGGCATGATGAGCGGAGTGGGCCCCACCGATATTTCGACAAGGGGGACAAGTGCCAACCATTCCAGGCGCCCCCGAGCTCGAAGGCCTGTGCGCCCTCGGGCTCAGCGCTCAGGGGGGATCCCAGCGGACGGGACCCCTGAGACGGCCCTGCCAGAAGTCGGGGGCCCCCAGACCGTGTGGTGACCACACCGCGTGGTGAGTCAGTTGGGAATCGGGGTCAGCGCACGGTTTTGGGACTCAGGGCGTTCTCCGAGGACGCCGAGGACGCCGAAGACGTCTTGTGCGACTGGGGCCTCCGAGGTCCCAGAACCGTGCGGTGACGGACCGCGCGGTGCTTCGTTGTGGATCCCCCGGTCTCCACGCGGTCCGTCACCACAAGATTTTGAGGCCCCCGCCAGAAGGAGCTGTGCGTTGACCCTCCACCCCCTGACTGCACAAGCTGGCACGCCACCGCGCCACGGGGGTGCAGGTCGGGCAGGCCTCTGGGCCACCGCGGCGGCCACGGCCCTCTGCTCGCCGACGGCGAACGCCGCCACGATCCCAGTGCAGGCTTGCGACCAGCTGGATAGCCTCTCCGCGGCCCTTCACCCCACTGCTTCTGCCGCCGCCTCTCCTCCTGCACCACAAGCCTCCGCCCCCCCCTCTCCCTGCCTTTCTTTCCTCCCCCGCCCCTGTTGTCATCCTCCTACATCCCTCCTCCTTCTGAACAACTCCGTCTTTAGGGCGGGCTGGGCGTTTCGCTTGAGACGCCCTCGCAACGTATGATCCTGGAGCTTGAAATTTGCGACAGTTTCACGGATGGAGGGCGGGTCGTTTTCAAAGTGTGGCTGTCGTCTTGGCGTTGCGCAAATTTGTGCCACAATTGTGCAAGAACTTCAAGGATGGAGGGCGGGTCGTTCAAAATGCGTATGGCTCTCGCTTCAGCGCCGCATGCATTCGTGTTGAAAGTTCGCAGTAGCTTCACGGATGGAGGGCGGGCGGTGCTGTGGCTCTCGCCTCAGCACCGCATGTTTGGAATCGTTTCAAGGATGGAGAGCGTTCCTTTTCAGACTGTGGCTCTCGTGCCGTGCACATTCGTCTTGTAAGCTTGCGGCAGTTTCATGGCTTTGGCCGAAGCAACAGGGATGGTGTTCTGGCGCGACTTGCATGTTTGATTCGTGGTGCTGCAGTTCAAGGATTGGTGTCCCAGCGTGGACGCAACAGTCATGCTGATCCGCGGCGTTGAAGTCCCAGCAGCGGTTTTTGCGCACGCCTGAGGATTCTCAGACGGTTGTCTTTAAATGGGCCATGTCTCGCAATGAGCACACATTCGTTTACGGACCTATGAAGAGGAAACTTTGATGGTGTATTACAACGTCGTTGATGCGTCTTGGTTTCACACTGGCCCTCCTACTCCTCGTCCTCCTCTACCTCCTCCTCTTCCCCCTCCTCCTCGTCCTTCCTCCTCCTCCTCCTCCTCCTCCTCTTCTTCCTCCTCCTCCTCCTCCTCCTCCTCCTCTCCTCCTCCTCCTCCTCCTCCTCCTCCTCCTCCTCCTCCTCCTCCTCCTCCTCCTCCACTGGTCATCCCCTCTCCTCCGACTCCTCCACTGTCCATTGTCCTCCTCCTCCTCCTCCTCCTCCTCCTCCTCCTCCTGCTCCCTCCACTGTCCATTCGTCCTTCTCCTCCTCCTCCTCCTCCTCCTCCTCCCCTCCTCCTCCTCCTCCTCCTCCTCCTCCTCGTCCTTCCCTACTCCTCTCCTCCGCGTCTTCCTCCTCCTCCTCCTCCTCCTCCTCCTTCTCCACTCCTCCTCCTCCCCCCCCTCCTCCTCCTCCTCCTCCTCCTCCTCCTCCTCCTCCTCCTCCTCCTCCTCCTCCTCCTCTTCATCCTCCTCTTCCTCCTCCAGCCTCGACAGGCGGTGTCCTCCCAGACGGCCCTGCCGCTCGGCGTCGCCCTGCCACGGCGCGACGCCATCGCCAGCCCGCTGCCGGGCTGGCCTGTCCCGCCGCCGTCGGACGACCAAGACACCCCTGGACAGCAGCCTGGCAGAGCTCCTGACCGAGCTTCCGGCAGTCCCGAGGCCGGTGCCGGGGACAGTCCTGAGAGCAGGCTTCACATCGGGAGACGAATGAAGGATGCGGAGGATGGGGAGAGGGGGAGGAGGCGGAGGCGGAGGCGGAGGCGGAGGGGGAGGTGAAGGGGGAGGACGAGGAGGAGGAGGAGGAGGAGGAGGAGGAGCAGGAGGAGGAGGAGCAGGAGCAGGAGCAGG